CAAACACCCCCATACACAGCACAAATGGCTTGAAGCAAAGGGAAATTTCGCTTGGTTTGTCAAACCGCTTGTGTGGTGTATTTCGCTCTTAAAAGTCAAGATGATGTGTTTGTTGTAAAATGAATTCGCCTTGTTAACAACAAACACATCATTTTGACATTAGGAATAATCTAAATTCGCCATCAACACCACCTTGCATAATTATGTTTTATTTTAAATATGCATATCGTCGTTTAAAGTGCAAAACCGCGTATCAGCAAAATGCAAAGCCGCGTATGTGAAGTTGTAAAAATTATTTTCTAGAGCGTAAAAACACTCATATTACAAAATGGTTGTCTTTTTAAAGCAATCGCGTTTCTTGCTAATATATTTCAAGACGAATGAATAAGGATTGAGCCAAGAGCTTGTGCGAGCAAATCCAATTTTTGGCAGCCAATGTCAGTTACGCGGATTTGCAGAATGACGATACGCGGTTTTTTACTTTAAACGACGATATGAATTTAAAATAATAACAAGTATTTATCTTTTGCTCCGATTTTTTGTTTTTCAATACGATTTTTCTAGTCTTTTGCTTCGCAATCGGTTTCGTGAAGTGCCAACCCTGGTTGTAGGCCTAAAAGTCTCCACATTGGCTTGCATTTGTTTACAAGTAGTTGTTTTTGCTGTCAATACTGACAGCACAACAAAGCCACTAAATACACATAAAAGGGCGAAAAATCGAATCACGACAAAAATGTTGAACTGAATAGAATTTATTATTATCTTCTACAAACGAGAATTGTTGCGCATCCCTAGTATACAAATATTAAAATTCGTTGGAATACGAATAACAGCAATTATTCAAAGATGTTCATTAAAAAGTAAATGGCACGTATCTATCGAATTAGCTTCATTGAGGTTGGAACTCCATACATTGAATCTCAGGTATGCAAGCAATAAAATAAAGTCGAAGAAATTCAGAAGAATTCGTAAAAATGTAAAATTTGTGCAGTTGAAGCAGGTAGGCATATTCAAGGTTGAATACTTTATTTTTCATAATAGTTGGCCGCCTTGAATGCAGAAATTACACAATAACTTTAATGATCCTAGTCCCCTCTAGGAGACACCATTGTCACATACACAAATTAAAAAAATTTGGGACGAAGGGAAATTATCAACCCCCGAAATTTTTTGTTAATATCTTTTGATCAGGTAAAATAAGTTAATTTAATTCTTGTTATTGGGGACCAGTCGCGTCTAATGGTGCCCCCTTTCCAAAATTTTGACCAATTTTGGGGGTTGAAAGCCCACCTAGATAATTATGGATTGCAACCCTCACTTCCTTCTCCTTTCTGTATTGCCATAAAAAGAAGCCGAAGTATTTAACTTTTGATCGGGTAAAAAAAGTTAATTTCCGCTTTCGGATTCTTGTTATTGGGGTCCAGACGCGTCTAATGGTACCCCCTTTCCAAAATGTCGACCAATTTTGGGGGTTGAAAGCACACCTAGATAAATACCATTGCTTTTTCTTAAAATTTCATGCCATTCACACAAGAGACATTAAGTGATAAACACGATGGTGATGTTTTACTGTTAAGGGAGTCCATATATGCACATACATACCTAATCAAAGTATTAAGTTTACCGAGCAATGCCAGAGAAACGGAACACGCCGCATGAACTGCGTGTCTATAAGATTGTAATACTGGGCGATGGTGGCGTTGGCAAATCAGGTAATTCTGTCTTATACGTATCTGAAAAAATCTATTTGTTTACTACTTTTTTTTTTGAATTTTAGCTGTAACTCTGCAATTCGTTAGCCATAGTTTTACGGATTACCATGACCCTACTATCGGTTAGTAAAAAAAACGTTTGATAAAAAAAAAATCTGCTAATACATACATACATTCCATTTACAGAAGACTCCTATCAACAACAAGCCGTTATCGATGGAGAAGCAGCACTGCTGGACATACTCGACACTGCTGGTCAGGTTGAGTTTACGGCCATGCGGGACCAATATATGCGATGTGGTGAAGGTTTCATAATATGTTACTCAGTAACAGACAGGCACAGCTTTCAAGAGGCATCAGAATATCGTAAACTAATTCAACGTGTGAGACTCTCTGAGGACATACCGCTAGTACTGATAGCAAACAAGATTGACTTAGTGTTAGCAAGAAAAGTAAATTAAGATTGAAATAATTGAGGAAACGCCAAATTACAATAATTTTAACATTTGTTTTGAAAAGGTAACAACTGAAGAAGGGAAAAACTTGGCAAATCAGTTTGGATGCCCGTTTTTTGAAACGTCTGCATGTGAGAGGCTTTGCATTGATGAACCTTTCTACACCCTTGTTCGGGAAATACGTCGAAAAGAGGTTGAATTATATATCTAATCTTACATTTTTCAACTCGTTACCAATGCAAAGGGCTCTAATTGATGGATGTGCCAAATGTTAATTTAAAACGGGTATCGGTCCCCCGTTAGAGCCTTTTTAATTGATGACAAATAAATAATTTATTTTAGATATTATGATACCTATTTGTCCCAACAGGCTCAAGGTAGCGGTACAAGTTCAGAAAAGTTACATTCTCGTCGAAGGAGCCGTTGGTGGAGAATTCGCTCAATTTTTGCTTTGGTCTTTCGGCGGCGCAGAAATCTAAACTAATAACACGAAAAACACATTTGCGCAACCGAAAGTCATTTCCGTATAAACACAACTTCAATATATGTACATACATACATAAATCCTATTGAAAGCAATTTGTATACAAAGTATGGATGTGCCCAAGAAATTAAAAGAACCTGACCGAAAACGTCACGATCCTTATACAAGCAACCTCCTACTACATTGTTAGTGTGGTCTAACATAACCAAAAACAGCAAACAAAAAGTTTCTGTCTCCAAAGTGCATCAGTTTCTAGTTCCTCATCCTTTTCGTTTTATATCGGGTTAAGTATAGTCCTTATGTAAAAACAGTTGTTTAAGTTATTGTTATATTGTTTTCGATATTTATAAAAATGCAGGAATGGTGTGACATCAAATTGCCGCGTTACATGCCATTTTTGCTTTCACTTATGTTATATATGTACATACATACGTATTCACATACACACAATTGGTTGAACCGGCAATGTTATTTAGTTAATTATATTTTATCAAACACATTTTAAATAATTTCAACATTGAACAAATTACGACAAGCACAAGTGCTCATGTAACCTATGACATAAATCTATTAAAATCTAAGCAATAAGTTATTTATTCATTTATAGGAATGCATATGAATATCTATAGGTATAAAAATATAAAATGATGAATTGAATATGACAGATGGTGACAATTGAAACAAAAAAATACAGGTAAATTATATATTGAACACAAAGTCGTCGGCCCTCCTACACCAAAGCATATTGAATCACTAAATAGTAAATTAATAATAAATTTAGGTCTATATATTGTAAATTATTAATTGATAAAATTTAAACTGAACTATAAATATTCTGGAATGATAAAAATCTGTCATATTGTTTCTGGTTCCGAATGTGTTTAAAAATGTCATCAATCTGCGAAAGCTCTACTGAAAGACAATACCCTTTGATTGTTATAGATTTGTTATGAACTTGAAAAAAAAATACTCTAAGCAATGTTCCTCTATGCTCAGCGGACGAAAATATGTATGTTACTGTATTGCCTTGGAAAGCTTTAATTTCAATTTTGTATGCTTATCCTTAATCAGTAAAGGATTAATTTTTACTTATTTGTTTTGTAATAGTTATCTAATATATCCGTAAATATATTAAATGTAAATTGTATCGTACCTGGGTGCATAATATTGCCCATGCAACTACATACAATATATTACAACACTCGGGCATTATGTTTCAATTAAAAACTGTTACTAAAAATAAGTACATTACAGCAATACAGCTAATGAAATCAAAACAGGAACAATTCAACTAAGTTCCTTTTTTATTTGTTATTGTTGTGTGAACTAAAGTGCAAATATTTATTTTATTAATCATACTGTAGCATGATTATTTTATTTTAAAATCTTGTGTGTAACTCGTTATTTACTTACATGTGTAAATTGGAGGAATAGGAGGTCCTGTTTTAAATGAATGATATATTAATTTATTGTAAAATAAAAATTGAGATAAAAGAAAAATGTTAATCTTGAAAAATGTTAATCATGTGTATATATTTTCCAAATGAGATATGTTGTAGTAATATGGAATAATTAATTAGTAGCAGCAGGCAAAACCAATTCGACTTGCCTCTACACTTTAAAATTGTATTTGACCTTCATTCAAATAAAGGAATTCAAAAATATTCTGTTTCGTTATGATTAAATTGATTTTCTTGCTTGAAGCCCGGCCTGAAAACGTTGAAACTAAAAAATTTAAAGGGGTCTACCCTTAAACTCGTAAAAGCCTCGTAAAGCTCGTAAATTTTCGAGCCACGTAAAAGAGCTGTCAAAATTTGTATGGAGCTCTATTTACGAGCTCCTCGTAAATTTATGAATCAGATTCGATGTGCAAACAACCCCGTAAACTTCAGTGTTGCCGAATTTCATCCACTAACTGTATTGACTTAGAAAGGGGAAATTGAGGGCGCAGAGTGACATTTCTTTTTGAAGAGAAGTTGCTAGTTTTTACTGGATACACTTTTGCTAGTAAGAACTTGCAAGTGAGAAAAACAGCTGATCGCATGTCGCTGGGTGGAATTGAAACTAATAGCGTTTTCGTTTCTCCATAACATTCTGCCCTGATGCTGCCATTTTAAAATGCTGTGTTCTTTTGTAAAATGAATGCAATCTTTGCAGACGGCAGAGTTATCTTTTCTCACAGGGTTATTTTTTCTAAAAAAATTCGATTCTATCCGAATTTTAGCACCACAAATTTCGATTTCATAAATTCGCGATTTGGAGTTGAAATTCGATTAAAATTCGAATCTCGAAGATTCGAATATCGAATTTACCATCCCTAATCTTAAGGCAACACTGACAGCCTGTCAGTGTCAGCTGTAAATTTTGTTTTGGTTTTACGCTCGCACGTTTTCGGTTTGTTGGAAATTAGTATGTCTGTTTAATGAATAAACTTTAATCATTAAAATAATACAATTGTGATGAAAACTCAAAACCGAATTGCTCAAAATGATAAGCTGCGCCAAAGACTTAAAAAGCTTTTTAAAAAAGGACAGCAAAACTTCGATGCTTCTGTTTGCCAAACTGATTTGAAGCCCAATCATATTCAGAAGGACTCTATGGCAGCGAAGAATAATTTCGCTCCGGAGGGAGGTATTCCCAAAAAGAGGAAAAGAAATCTTGAGAAAAAGGAATCGACAAGCAAAGTAGAATCAACTCCTAAATCCAAAAAACTAAAGGTAAACCCCAAAAAAGCTAGTAGTCTGAAACCAAATAATAGTCATGAGAAATCGAAGTTAAATCATCAGGATAATAGGGCAAAGTGCACAAAACTGTCCAACCGCACAGAAACAAGTAAAAAGACTATAACGCAAAATAATAAGGGAAATGTTTTTTTGTCACTGGTGCAACACAATGGATGTCCAAGTGGCATAAAATTGGAAAACCACGACTATAATTCCTTCTTTGATGACAAAGATTTAACTTTTGAAGACGATTATGATTATGGTGATTACTATGACAGTTACAGTGATGATTATTCTGACGATAGTGACGATTACTTTGAAGAAAGTGATAGCTACGGATATAACGATTCTGAATATTGCAATTCTGAGTCAGATTTTAAGTACGTTTCGGAAAGTTTGTCAGAAACGGATCCTGACTATGAACTTCCCCAAAATATTCCAGAAGATCTAGTCATTCATAAAGGTGAGTTGGCTGAATGCGATTGTACGTAGATAAACATATATTTGCCTAGATATGACGGTATAGCTATTAGATTTGATATACATATTCACATGTCTAATTAGGTACAGCACAAAAACGCGAAATACGCAAGGATGATGATGTTACTTTCGACAGCGAAAATGAGGACCCGCAAATTTTTGAATTAATCGGGGAAAGCTCAACCAAATTGATAAAACAACCAAAGGCTTATGCAAATAACGAATTGCATAAGTTAAACGAAAGAAGTGTTTTTTCAAAGAGCATACATATTAAAAAGGATTCGGAAGAACGCCATGAACATGAAATGGATTGCCCGTCATTGGTACCAATTTTAGAGGAAGATGGGTTTCGGCTGTACAATCCTGAGTCTGATGACAGCTCCTATGAAGAACTTAGTGAAGATAGCTCTTCAGCGGAATCCGATATAAACGAAAAGTATATGGATGTCGGGCAGAGCTGCGATGAAGATTGTGAAAGATGTAATAGAAAGAAACATCGAAAATCTTTTATTAACGTGGGTATTATTGAAGTTCAAAACTGCATTCCACCTCACATAAGTAACACAATTGTAAGCACAAAAAAAACAGAAATTGACAAGCCTATTTCAGAATTTCTGTCAGCTAAAGAAGTGCCTTCAAATTTAGATGGAGACGCATTGATTTCTGTAAGCGTCTGTGAAGCACCTTCTGCACCAGATATCATTAAAGAGTTAGTGACAAGCCGAAATGAAAATTCAGTTGATGAACCGGTTTTAGAGGGGAGGTTTCCAAATGGAAACATAACCCAGTCCCCACAATCTGTTGATGAAGAATTGATCGATGATGAAGGCAGTAAGGTTTTTCTACGAACGTCAGAGATAATAAAAGATGGGATTACAAATGAACCAGAAATATGTGTACCTAGTAATATTCAATTTCAGGATAGAATGATTATTCCTCAAGAACAAATATCTTTTAGAACATTATTTTTTAACGCTGTTAACTCTAATCTTGTTATTGTTTTGGTGAAGGATCCCTTTTATTTTTATGGAACCGTTTGTATGACTATCTTAGCCGGAAAGGTCGAAATATACGGCTATTCGCCACACCAAAAAGAGGAAGTTGAAATATTTTCACCACGTGGCTGCAGCAGTGTTCACGTATCAACCATTCCATCAGCAGTATACCCCGATGAACTTGGGTCTATATTAAAACCGCTTCAGTTATCTTTTAGTTCTAGTGATTTGGAACGAATAGAAAAGGACTTTGAAAGTGGTCGAGATGCTGTATTACTTTTGCAGCGAAATACTCGGCGAAGAAAATTAAAAAACATGTTCAAAAAATATATGAACGAAAATGTCTTCCCCAATATGAATTCTATACATACGGATCGACCACTTTACTCAAGCGAGTATTTATTAGATTGCGTGATAAACACGGAAACAGAAAGACCTTTACGGGTGCCGGAGGAATGGCGAAACTTATATTTTACCTCAACATCTAAGGTGATAATTACCGGTGGAAAATCAGTGGGAAAGTCTACTCTTCTACGTTACCTTCTAAATTCACAATTAGAGCATTGTGAACGTGTACTAGTTATTGACTTGGACATAGGACAGGCGGAACTCTTTATACCTCAAACTGTCTCTTGTACGGTTTTATCTCGACCTTTACTGGGACCCGGATTTTTCCTAAACCACCAACCCACTCGTGCGTATGCTGTGGGCCACAGTAATATTGTTCTTTGTGCTCAGGAGTATGTCCGCGCTGTAAGAAAACTTGTACAGTTTTGTTACTCAAATAAAGAATTCGCAGAAATACCTTGGCTTGTTAACACAATGGGTTATAATAAGGGATTCGGCATGGAGCTAATGAGTGTTCTAAGTCAATTAATAAAGCCCACTGATATAGTTCAACTGCAAAGCAATAGGGATATCAATAATTTTGATGAATTACTGTATCCTCATGTGTTATCTGGGTTGCCTCGGATCATATACACACAAGATGTATTGAGTGAGGAAATTAATAAACCTGCGTTGGAATATCGACTGCACGTATTAGGTTCAGCCATCATCCAAGAAAGTCGATATCAGCGTGATTGGGAAATGAGTGCTAAGGATTTGCGTTATGCAACATTTCTATCCCGGCTTAGTGACGTCCTTCAGGGCAGTGCGGAATGGCTGACAGATTGTGTACCATTAAGGTATAAACAAATCCTCCTGAATATTTAGTGGTACATATGTACAAATGTATGTATATTTGTTCTTTTTGTAGTGCGTTAATTGAAAAGCTTCACCTGGTTAATATGGTTTGTAATCAATCGACTAGAGATGAGCTAATTCCTGCGTTTGAAGCTAATTTGGTTTACTTGTGCCGAAAAGATGACCATAATAATGATCCTATTAAATGCTATGGCATTGGTAAGTGTAATTGCAAAATGTAAACCAATTCTTACAAATCTAAATGTGTACACCAGTACTATATTCATGTGCATGTATTTGCAGGCGTTGTACGAGCCACTGATCTAAAGAAATTATATTTGCTGCCGGCAATGAGTTATGACTATTTAAAAGAAGTAAATTGTTTGGCTTTAGGAGAAATGCCATTGCCTTCATCTTTATTCACAAACCAAGGACCTAAAGTGCGAAAGATGGCTGCCTTTCTTTACAATACTGTGAATGCGAGAACTTCAAAGTCTATCAAGCAAATTTTCCACCGCCCATCGCAGTTTCTCTCAGGAAAACAAAAAATTGTTCAATGATTAGCAAAAATATCTTAGTTTAACTTACATTTTTTCATGATCTTCGCAATAAAAGCAAAATGAATGAACTGTAACAATTGAATGTATTTGAATTCTACTTTAAATTCATAATGAACATTTAATGAGACAGTATATGTCTTCCTTTGAGTATTCGGCGCATTAGCACACGCCGTCCTTCTGGTGTCGACATGCGTTGGTGCCATCCATGAACATTTATCCGTTTAACTTCTCGAGGCTTTGGGAAGTGGCAGCGGACCTTGCTTTTAAGTATAGCCCTATTGAAAACATGTGCCTCTCGACCAATTACCGATTGCATCAAGTTAAAAGTTCCGAGGAACGACCTATGGGTGTGAGTAGTTATGTATAGCATTAGAAATTGATGTCACTGAGTTTCACCTGTTAAATAATCCCAAAAATGACATTTCGAGACAGGAATCCTATAGAAATAAGACCACCGGAGAAAAAATGTACTGGCTCGTCAATACAGCTGTTTGCTGAGTGGTATGTTCAGTGTAAATTAGTGCCATCCCATGGCGCAATAAACAGGTGAGGTAATAAAACGCTCTCTCGCTGTATCTTCTGACATTCGGACATAGTGGAAATAATTCGGCTAGTGTCGAAATCCAAACGAAATGTTATAAATAGCATTTTTACAAAACAATCATCTAATAATTTTCAAGTTTTTGGGCATATATGTATGTTACGGTTTGACAAACCGCCGTCAAACCTTCAAACACCCCCATACACAGCACAAATGGCTTGAAGCAAAGGGAAATTTCGCTTGGTTTGTCAAACCGCTTGTGTGGTGTATTTCGCTCTTTAGAGCGGTAGCGAAAACAGCTGATACCATTTCGTCGGACCTATAAGTTAGGTGGCCATATTTTAAAAAACGAAACCATATTTAGAAATGATGAAATGATAACAAATATAAATATAAGGCAAGGGGGAACTATTATAAATTGTTATATTTTATATTAAACCAGATTTAACGAATCGATCACTGTATATTTCAATCTTCAATCAAATCTTTGAGAGTAAAAAAAAAAATACGGCCACCTTTGGCATGTACTGCCGCCATCGCCCAACAGAGCGATAGAAATAAATCTAATGCCTGGATTATAATGGAAGTAACGGAACGGAGTGAACTGTAACTTAATTATTGATGAATTCGAACGATTATAATGCACTTGAACGTAACGTAAAACGAAAGCATCTAAAATCAATAGATCCTTACGAATTCAATACAACAAAGTTTCAAATGGCTAAAAATTGCTGTTGATTTCGTAGAAATTTGTTCGTCGTATAAGAGGTCGAACTTTTTACGAAAGTTTGTTGATTTTTTTTTAAAGTATTGCACATTGGATTTAACGGGTTTCGTTATAGAGTGAACCATATATTTATAAAAAGTAACTCAAATTAAATAACAAAAAAAAAATAATAATTGTGAAAACTTGGCAAAATTTGTTGCGATTAAAATTTGTTCGACCACTGTATATATGTAAATATTATATAAACATTTTATATTCTTTATTTGTTAACTAACTTTATAAAAGTTTGGTTTTGTTTATGAGTACATAACAATAAAAGAAACAGAAAGACCGGCAATATATCAAAATAGACATTTTTTTTTTTAAATAAAGAGATATCTGAATGATATCTGCAGATGGGTGGGGAATTTTACGAAATTTCGGACAAAATCGGGGAATTTCATTGTCGAAATCGGGGAATTCTCAAAAATGAGTTGGCTACCCTGCATGGTGCCATCCTTTTAGCTTTGTTTTTTTACCTTTCTAACAGGAAATTAATACCCCACGTCTCCACCTTCTGCAGATTATCGCGTTTTTAATTTTTTCCAGTTTGAGAATATTTTTTTATTTTTATTTTTTTTATTTGTTAATTCTATTTATTGAAAGGCAATCACGCGGAAGAGCTTGCGTTAATTACATTGATAACAGAACCTGGAGCTCGCACAGCAGAATTAATAAAATGGAAAAGATTAACATACATATGTTTTAGCGTTGTCATGTACTCAATAGGTCATCACAAAAATAATAGCAATTAGTGACTACTTAAAATAATACAATGGAGTGGCGGATTCAAGATGTTTTAAAATATAATTGCCTATGGAATTTCGTGAAAAAAGTATGCTTTCAAACGCAAGCGTGATTTGCAAGCAGGTGAAGATGGCCGGTAAAGGCGAGTTTTGTCATTGCACGCGAATAGGCGAATAGGATTGTAAAGCAAAAAGACGAATGACATCTGCTGTCAAAACTGGCAGTGTTCCTTGCGCAGCTGCTTACCGATTTTTGTTCATCGTACTCAATTTTGTATTTGCTTTTGACGCTGATCGTTCATTCAAGTGCGGGTTGCGCTCCAACAATAAAGCTGTGGTGTTGTACATGCTATAGTAAATTGTATGTATCGAAAATCGAAAAACAGATGCAGAATATAAAAAAGTGGAATTATAATTAAAATGACTAGTGAAATCTAAATATAATGGTCGCACGGCACATATGAATCGTGAATTGTGGAATTAGCAACAAGTCTCGTGGAAAATCACGTTGTGTTCGTTAATATTTGTGAAAATTTATTGGGGAAATTGATATGTTGCTAGTTAAGTTATGCTATTGCTATTAAAGAAGTCAACAAAAGTTCATAATTTTTGGTATCGAAGTGAAAGAGCGTTTTACACAAACAAAGCACCAGTAGCTTTGCATAAGCTTAAATTTTAAGAAATTAAAGGTATGTACATAATTGCGAGTGAAGAAGTTTATGTTAGCACTTACATACGTACATACATGCATTCTTATATATTTAAAAGGGTGCAGATATATATGTATTTACATCGACCGATTGCCCATTTTTCGCAATACTGTCGCAAGTCAATAACACAAATTTTCAGGATATCGTTTACTGTTTTCAATGCAGAAACTTATGCGGAAATACCTTTTTTGGCATGCAGTGTTTTGAATTACGACAGTCGATATCGATTACGTAGTTCACCGCTAAATAACACTCCGCTATAGCAAAATACAATGCCTGTCCTTTCGATATTTTGGTATAGTAGTCCAAATCATAGGGCATCAAACCCCTTAAAAAATAATAATAAACATCAAGTCAAGTGAAGAGAAAATCGATTTTTGTTTCGTCCCCGAAACTGGCTTAATTAAATTCGTTGCACAGAAGTGCCTTGAACCGAAAAAGAAATATGATGTACTCATGATCAAAATGTATTCAACAATAGGGGTATTCTCTGAGTCTTGCCAAGCCCTTGCATGGTGCACAGATTGCATGGATTGCACGGTTAAAACCGGTTTTCGTATGGGACAGCTTTGCAAACCGTGCAATCCGTGCACCGTGCAAGGGCTTTGCAAGACTCAGAGAATACCCCTAATCTGTGATTGAATTTGGCATTGCCGTCAGAAGAACCATCCTATAAAAGTTGCGTTCGAGTAGCTGTTAATTGTTCATGTTTAACCAAAACTTACAAGTTTTTCCGTTCGCGTACGCAAAAAACTTGCAAAGTAGGGAAAATTGAGAGAGCAAAGTGACATTTCATTTTGAGGGGAAGCTGTTAGTTTCTGTTGGAAAAATTTTTGCCAACAGCAATTTGCCAACAGGGAAACAGCTGATCAAAAACAGCTGGTTGGCATTTACGCAAATCACAAAATTTAATTTGATGGTTTGGAAGATAAAAATTACAAAATGCGACTAATTAAACTTGTAAGAAATAAGTAGTTATTTGTTTAATCAATAAACTGTGCCAGTATAACACTTTGTGATGACTTTTCGTACGTTTTAAATTTTACACGTTTGAATGTAAACAAAAATTATATCAGCTGTTCGTCTAACTTGCAAGTTTCTGCAAATTTTCTGTTCGCGTACTATTTGGGATATTTTTCTCTTGTGAGAGAACAGATGACATTTCGCCGAAATTTGGCAGTTGGTTGGTTTCTGCTTGAGATTTTAAACGAACGCACCTATTATTTAACTCAAACCAGCTTATCTACATCGAATATAACACCTGATTGGTATTGAAAATAAATCTTTTACGATCCCGGGATTTTCGGGATGACGTTGGTTCAATCCCGGGATCCCGGGATCAGTGTCGGGATTTAGATATTTATTAGTTGCGTTCCCTAACTCGCAAGAAGTTGCAAGAATTTACAGGAATTTACTAGAAAGCGTTCCCGTACTCGGTTCTCTTGTCTTCTTTTGCCTTTTGACAGTTTTACAGGTTTTAACCCAGAAAAGTTGGGGAACGCAACTATTATCTTTCAACGAACAACACGAACAAAACGAATTATATATATATGCATTTAATAATCTTTATCGTGTACATACATACATATCTGATAAAGAAATTAAAGCTATGCCGAAAAAAGCTCGATGCAAAAAAAAATTAAGTCAAAAAATTTATTTTCTGGTTGAAAGAAGTTCATAATGCTAGTGGCAGAAATAAAAGAAGCGCCAGTTTTGTCTATATTCCTTTTGTTTATCCAAAATTAAATTTTTTTTTTGTAAAAGTCTACCTCATATTACACACAATTAACTGCATATAAATGGGCATTTCTCTGACGTCATGCTGGTATTTTTAAAAATACTTTATCGAGTCCTAACCGCCAAAATAACGTAGGTAAGCGACATTTTTTTCAAAATTTTCTTTTTGATGCAGAAATATTCCAAGAGCATCTAGATAACTGGTGCACACGGGAGTCTCCGGGAGCTACTAGGCTTTCAAATACAAGTCGTGTGTGCGCAGCTAACGAACTGTTGCGACGCTAGCAGCGAATTAATTTGCGTTTAAACGCAAATGTGGTTGATTTCAAAATTAATTAAAAAAATTCAATGTAATCTGAAACAAGAGTATGGGTACCAAATGAAATAATTTTTTTTTTGGGTTCACAAGGACGAATAGGAATTGAAAATGCCCCTTTAATCTATTTTATTTTTTAAGTATTAAAGTTAGTCCTTAAATTTTTTTCAAAAATAAGAACAGAATCTACAGAATCTTCTCTTTCATTTGATACTCATTCTGGTTTCTTAAGTATATTGCAGTGAAATTTTTAAATAATTTTGGGTCAATTCAGTCAGTATTAAATGATAAATATTTTCTCCTTATATGTAACAATTTTAAGGGGTAGCCTCTCAAAAAACTAAAAAATAAATGTAACTTTTTTTTTTTTAATTTCAAGACCCTACCCCCTAATTTCCTTACTTTTTATGAGAAATATGATTGCTTATTTTTATAGATTTTTTAAAAATCATTTAGAAGTCGCGACTTTTCATTTTAAGCTAGAATACGCGGTTTTGTACATTTATCAGTTTGTGAATGACTATTTTTCATTAAATTTTAAAGATCGAACATGTTGTGAGAAGAGGATTTATAGGCCTTTAAAATTATGTATAATAATCTATTGTC